AAACAGGTACAGGTTCTTAAATGTTTAAGATGGTATCTTCCTATCGTGGCACACAGTCAACAAGCAGTATAAATACATTTGTTTCTTAAAATTATTAGATGTGTAAGAAGAAACAGTAGAGGTGAACAGAAACCCTTTCTTTTTCTGATGCAGCAGTGAGAATGCCACTGTAAACTTCTGCTTTGAAATTAGATTGGGCAATTTTAAAAGTAGCACTCAAACCATAAATTGTGCTGAATTCTTCATTACAGATAGAAAATGAGGTCAACTTTAAAAAATGAGCTTGAAGATACCCTTTTTCCACTGTTATAGTAGAATAATTAGATCTAATTGTAATCCATCTGGCTCCTTAAACACAGCTAGCGGGGAAAAAACCAAAATCTTAAAAATCCTTTTTTAAACAAATAACACACACAATACAAAACAGCACCAATATGGCCCTTCTTGGTAATCTCATAGCTAGCATGATGTTTATATTTTATTTATTTGTCACATTTCTATGCTGCCACCATCAAAACAACTCTCCATGACTCTCATGAAAAGACAATAATATAAAATAAGTCCCATACAAAAATTAAAACACAACAGCACTGCAACTTTAATTTTAGAGGAAGTACATTCTTATCTGAATGATGCAAACAAGTTTATGGTTTTCAGGATATGTATAAAGATATAATTTACTGTTGCTTGAAAAGCCACAATAATTGAATACCACCTTCATTTTATTTAAATTAATTTTCCATTTCTTTGTTTTTCCATTGATTTCAATAGTAATTCAATATGTATTTTGCTGCATATAACTTTGGACTGTTGAGTTAAATAATGTGACATAAAATGTAGATGTTGCATTTCAGGCATATTAAAGAAAACATAATAGCTGATATAACTACTTTTTTTTTATTTTTGGCATTTAGATAGGATACTTCTGCTTCTATCCCAAGAGTCTCCTCTTATAGAAAATCCATTTCATATAAGTATCCAAAAATAATATAAAACCAAGCCAGAATATTATGATCAAGCACTCATAAACGATGTTCATGGACTTCTTAAAGAACTTTCATGTCTTTATTTGCAACTGGTCTTACCAGCAGACGTAAAGCACCATATTTGGATCATTGTTCTGCTTCTATTTTAGCTTAAATATATTATTTTGTATCCATTTGTGTGTTTCATGGGCTCTCATATTCATAAAGATATAAAAGAAGTTATTTTCATGTACTGCTGCTTCTCTCTCTCAACCTCCTCCCCTCCTCCCCTTCCCCCAAATATATTATAGCAATTTAGGACACTGTGAGATATCAACTACTGTGTAGCTAAAGAATCCTCAGCTGGATTGAACAGCCTTTTGTTAATGAGGTGTTATGATGCAACATACTATTAGTGTCTCTGAAGGAATGAGCTGACATAGGCTCACTGTCTAATTTACATGCATTGATGTAATCTAATAAAAAAATTCAGATTATAGTGTATGGCCTGTGACCACAGTTATTACCTCTGCTGGCTTTTAAATCCAAATGGAATTTCTTCTATAACATGCTAATACAGAATATATGAAATAATGACTAAGAGTAAACAAATGTATGTTGTCCAAGACCAACTAAAATAGTCCCATAATTACACATTCTTATGTAGTTCTACTGCAAAAACCTATGCTTTTCTATACATCTTTCATGTACCTAAAATAAGTTCTGCTTTGATTCAGAAAACAAACCATGTAGGACTTAAGAAAAAAACCTCCACTGGATAAGAGTTATTTCTTAGCATTTTGAAGTAATACCATTTAAGTGTCAAAGGTAAGATATCTTACCCTAACACCAGAGTTTAAATCTTTGAATCTCTTACAGTATTTGTTTAGGAGGGCAAAAATTAAAAAATGGTAGACCAGTGTGTAAGAGTAAAATGAATACGACAAAGTTTTTCAGCATCAGCCAAGCACATTATACTGTGTTTTGATTCTAATTCATATTTTTAAAAATATTTTCTTCATTTCTTTTATAAGAAACAGCAATTATATATAGCAGATTTCATAGCTCACCAAGACATTACAAGTCCAGGGAGTCACATGATGCCAGAAGAATAGTCGAACAAAATTGAATGATTAAAATAACATAAATAGCACAGGATACTGTATATATTTTCTACAATATCTATGCTGTTTAATCTGAGGATTTTATTTAACTATCATATCCAATAATCACTGACAAAGCATAACTTTGTCTAAATTTCCTTTAAACACATCAGCATATCCGCAACCAATGCATATATCAACTAATACATTTCCTGAATAGGTCACCATCAGTATGTCAATGCTGAATATTTTTGTGTCTTATTTCTGAAGATAGATTATTCACCAACTCAGTCTGGATTCTTACTACCTATCTCTTAACTTACTGAAAAGGAAATAAAACATCTAATAATTTTAGGAATATTCAGATCTAAACATATTTTAATTTACATTAATAATAGAATAAATTTGATTATTTAAAATTGGGATATATTTATATATAGTAAGTAGTGACTAAAATTTTAAAAAATGCAAAAATGATGGAAACCTAATAACATATATGATACAATATACTTACTTTAAGCTATTAAGCTTTAGACAAAGTCTAGGAATCTCTTAGTAAAGAATGGGAAACATATTTTTGAAAAATATTTTGTTTGGTCATCTCTCTGATTCGATTGTTTTCCATCAATTAATCTACCTGATTTACTGTAAATACACAGCCCTGCCATTTACAGTAGCCAAACCTTTTGTACAGATACAAATTTCTTATTCTTATATAAACTTGTTTGAAACTTGTTGAGCTCTTTGTGGAAATGATTAATATGATTAATATAGTATTAGTATTAATATATTAATATAGTACAAATGTTTTCAGAAATTGGAAGAGCAGCAAACTTCATGATCCTAGTGCAACATGTCTCTGCCCTTTTAAAGCCTGTGGGTACACTTCTGCTGCTCTTAAATGTGTTACCAATCCTTCCAATATAGATGTGCACATAACAAATCCTTTAGAGCAGGCAATGTCAACTTCTGAAAGGTTGGTGGTTTTCATTTTTACAGTTCACAACACAACTGAGCCTGGAAGAAACTTATAATGTCAACGTAAGGTTAGCATTTGGACATCTGTATGATATATGTGCAAGCTAGGCATTCAAGAGCTACAGTATTTTACAGAGATTTTGCCAATTAGGATAATGTAAATTTTGCACTAAAAATGCAAGTTATGTAAAATTTCTGCAAGTTCTTGATACACCTACAAAGACAACAAAAAAGAAGGGATTGTTGTTTTGTCAGCTATGCAAACTTTATACTCACCTTATTCATTCAGGTTTACTATTGAGATTGATTAATTTGTCAAAATAAAAAGCAATTTTACAACATACAGGTAGTCCTCGACCTATGACCATTTAGTCAGTGACTGTTCCAAGTTATGACGGTGCTGAACGAATGGTGATTACGACTGGTCCGCAGAGTTCCAGTTGTCCTAGCATCCCCATGGACATGTGATCCTGATCTGAGTGCTTGGCAATCCGTTCACATTTACAATTGGTTGCCAAGCGCCCATGATCATGTGATCACCATTTGCAACCTTCCCTGTCAGCTTCCCCAGAAAGTCAATAGGGAAGCTGGAAGGGAAGGTCGCAAGTCATTGGGGTAAATCTCCCCACCTGCGCACCCTTCCCCACCTGGTACACTCACATGCTGGCCATTTGCGCACTCCTGTGTACCCTCCCTTACCTGTGCCACACCCCTGTGCACCTTCCTCAACCCACGTGGTGCCTGTAATGCACCTTTGTGCACCCTCCTGGAACCACATGGTGCCTCTCACGCATCCCCTCATACCACTATGCACCCTCCCTGACCCGTGCCTCTCACACACCCTCCCTGACCTGCACAGTGCCTCACATAGCCCCCCAGAAATATACTCTAATTCTTCCAAGGATACTCTTGTAATCTCTTCTAATCCACCTTATAGATTGTATTCCCTTTCTTTAGCTTCTCACATTCTTGCCAACCATAATTATTTAATCTATCATCAGCCTGCATCATACGCCTGGTATATTCCAGTCTTCAGGATATAACTAATCCTTCACACCAGCTGTTTCTGTTTTTAAGCATTAACTTAAAAATACTTTAATGTATTTTACAAACTGTATTTTTAGTTTTTAGAATAATTTATCAATAAATTGTTCAAAGAAAAATTGCTGAACTGACTTTTTTTGGAGTCTCATCTCTTCCTTGCTCATGGTGTTCTACCAGGGAAGAAAGAGATTCTAAACTCTTATTATTCTATACTCTTATTATCCTTCAACTACAATAAAATATATGTTTAACTATAGCCAAAAATTAAAAAAAAATACATTTAAAATTCCATTCTAAAAGTCTGGCATAAAGAAAGGCCTTGGAAGACGTTTCTCACTGTTGTCAAGAATCAAGAAATTGCACTATCTACAGCTCAGCTTAGAATAAGAGACCTCATAGAGTTTTATACTAGCATCAGATTTGAACTTTCTTCTAAGTAATACTGTAAATTCTACCAGCAGATTGTCTGTGTGTGGGCACAAAAGTAAGCATGCTCTTGTCTTAGCAATATGCACCCTTTATTCACCTGAAGAACCCACTGAAGGTAATGTTTGTGTTTGAAAATTTAACACAAATTTACAGCTGAGGACTGATCAAAGGTAATGGCGATCCAAGATAGATAGCAAGCACAATCTTGGTTCTTTTAAAAAATATGCTGTCTAATCCTTGACGATTGGAGTAAAAATGTTCATCATCTTGGAGAAATTAGATGTCAAACACTTGATTTTTTTTTTTAATGAAAGAGACAAGTAAAGAAAAGATAGCTCCTTGTCCATTTCCATTTCCAACAGTGGTTTTTCATCTGACTACTGCCACTGTTGAAACAAACAAATATGTATCCACAGTATAAATAGATACATTAAAAATTACAGGTAAGAAGAGAATATCAGAGTTTATTTCTAACCAATCTTAAAGCAATTGTTGCAATTCCAAGTTTACACAGGTATTTAAAGAAACCCCAAATTTGTGGCAAGGCCATGAATGAAGAGTGTTACTATAAGCTGCCATATCTTTCGGTTCCTTAATATCAATGCTAGGAAAAAAGGCACAGGAAAAAAATTATTACCTAAAGTGCAAATAATATAGTCAATAATAGATAATTAATTCTGTTGCTAAATTTATTCTCTCCTCCCTGTTTTTCATTTTAAAGCTTTTTTCTAATAAGGTTCTTGAAGCTGATTTCTTCTTTGATGGCAGATTAATTTAATGGATTTAATATATTCATATGTTAATTATATACTAATATAGTGAAAGCTATCTTGAAGACTTTACTTACATAAATAATATACAGTCATGAGAACATACAGATACACACACACAATGATCGATATTGATGGCTCCTTTGGTACTGAATTATCTTAGATAATGATAATTTATCACTGAATAAAGAGAAAAAGGAAACAAAAAATGGATATCCAAATATAAAGATTACTTTTAAAATCAAGATTTTGCAATATATTAAAACACATTTGGTCATTCCCCACATGTCTCTTCAGAGTAATACATTACAGCGTAAACATAATAACATTAATAGAAAAATTTCTTGTTGTACTAGTCCTTTGTTCTGAGGCTATAAAGATGCATAGTTATGGCAAGCAGTTAAACAGACAACTTCAACTATTTGATAAGATTTTCTGAAAGGCTGGTAAATTAAACATCGCTATTCTATTATTGTATTCAGTGGCAACACCAAAAGCAAACTCTTGAACCAAACAAAAGATACAGTATATGATTCAGCAAAGAGATTATCATGAAAGGTTTTTTTTAAAAAAAAACCAACCCTACAATGAGCTTCCTAAAATAGTGGCTTATTCCCCAGTTACTTAACAATGTAATGCTTTATAGCAACGAGTGAGTACTTTCACACCAATGTTACATGGAATGATAGAGAGCTCCAAACATAATTTATTACTTTGTCCCACTTCCTAGCTGCCTGATATATTATCAAGACCTGCAAGCATATCTTCTTCCTTTTACAAACAAAATATGGATCCCAAATACAAGGGTATTTCCTTAAAAGGAATATGGTGATTTTTCCCCCCACCAAACAATTACCTTACAAGTAGGAAGGTCACTGCTTTTCTTCCTGGATTCCATACATTTTTTTTGGAGGGGGGGGGAAATCTTTACTCCTGCTGAGTGGAAGCAATGGTGGCAGTTTCCCCACTTTTCCTAAATCAGTTAAGACTCTCTACACATGAAAGACAGTCCACAAGAAACAGGGCCTGCACACTTTTGTTCCAATTCCCTTTGAATGGGAATAGGCTGATGCAATATTCCTTAATGACAGACCCAACCTGGACATCCTGAGAAGAACTCTATCACTTACCCATCACCATCCTATTTTATTTTTGCTGCTTCTGTTGGAATGAGAGGGAAGGATACAGGCAAAGGCCCAAGCACATGTAGACTCTGAAGAAGCAGGTGACAAAGAGTATTGTCACTTTTGAATGTTAGTGTTGGAGGAGACTCCTGAGGAGAGAGCTGGAATTTTGTGGTTGTCTCCTATTCAGTTACTAATCATGTTGCTTACTTTCCAAATCCAGTTAAAATGTTGTGTTAGAGTAAACAGCAGCAAATCAGTTTTCATTATAAATCATTATATATTAAATATTCACAATAGCATCAAACGTCTAAACCTTTTCACATTAAGTAATAAAAGACTGAAAGATAATAGCTTGGATTATTTATCATTCTATTTTGTGATTATGCTTACTTTTTCTGGACGTGGAGGAGGATCAAACCTTTTTGCACAAACTAAAAACACATCAGGCTGTGGCTTGCCATCCTTTACTTCAGGGTCATCTCCCAAGACAATATGATGAAATAAGCCAAAGAAGTCTTTGTGTCGACTTGTTTTCATTTCAAATGTCACTCGAGATGAACTAGTAGCAACAGCTATGGGAATCTTATGTTTATGTAGATGGTGGATTAGTTTTTCAACTCCTGTGTAAGAAAGTCACACAAATACTTTAAATACACCTGACTGAGCAAAACAGACAAGCTGTAGATTTCCCCACACAAACACGTACATGCTTTTTTCTTACCCTTTTCCTGCCTTACCTTGCTTTTACTGGCAAATCAAAAATCAAAAAGTAGGCTTTGTTGTTTCTGCCTATAGGATATGCTCAGCATGCACATATACTCAACGTATCTAATACAAAGAAAATATTCAAATAGAAAATCCCAAAATAATACCTTAATGATTAATCATAGAAATTGTTCCCCCAAACATACACCCACAAACACGCGCACATAAACAACATATCAAAGTTGTGAAGATCCACGGACTGACTCCCACCACTAATGGATGTATGGCCATCTCCCTCTCCATGGAAATACTTTCCACTACTGACATGTTAGGTACCATGGTAAGGGCTCTCCATGTATAACATAAATTCCACTGGGTCATACTCTATGTATGTATTATAGTATGCATAGATAGCCAGGTTGGTCTAGTTGTTAAGGCAGCAAGCTAGCAACTTGAGATTGTGAGTTCTTGTCCCACCTTAGGCACGAAGCTAGCAGGGTGACCTTGGGCCAGCCCCTCTCTCTCAGCCCTAGGAAGCAGGCAATGGCAAACCACTTCTGCAATCTTGCCAAGAAAACTGCAGGGACTAGTCCAGGCAGTCACCAGGAGTTAACACTGACAGACAGGAAGGAAGGAAGGAAGGAAGGAAGGAAGGAAGGAAGGAGCGAGCATAGAAACCGGCCCTGTTCCCATGTTATTCGACCATATGAATAT